TTTTTTTTTTAAATAATAGCTTTTGAGATAGGAAGCCAAAGGAGGAGACACAGGTGTATTAAGTACATGAGATAAGCCAACCACCATAGGTGTTTTAAATTTCCATGAAGGACAACTCCTTATGTACCTTTATAATTACATTTAATTTTAAGAGGCTTATAAATGTCGTGTTGTTTTTATTTCATCGAAGAGAAGGCATGCTAAACAACAGTAATGTATATAACAGGTAGTGTTGAGGTTTGAATTTGAGTCTTTTTCCATCAGGCTATTTTGGCTCAAAAAGCACTGAAAGTTTTCCCAAAGGGTATGATGCTTAAAGTAATAGTTTCCCATAGAGCTAGAGGAACTGGATTTGAGACTTTTTGTCTTAGTTACTTTTTCATCACTGGTACACAGTACCTGACCCCCACAATGTAAAGGAGGAGAGGTTCATTTTAGGTCAGCTTTTCAGTCTGTGTTTGGCTGGCTGCAAGTCTGAAAAGGCATGATGGGGTCTTGGCAGAGGAAAATCTGCTCATGCCATGGCTGCCAGGAAGCTGAGAGACCCATGGGAGGAAACCAGGAGGAAGATAGACCCTTCTGCGTCACACTCTTGCTGACCAGGCCCCACCCCCGAACAGCACATTCAGGTGTCAATTTGTCAGTGGATTAATCCCCATGGTCCACTCACTTTCCAAAAGCCTCACGTATAACACGTGATGTGTCTGGGGAACATTCTAGATCTAAGCCATAACACTATGTAAAGGAAATGATGTCATTTAATGACCAAAGATTAAGTGTTAGGTGCCCTGGTGAGCTCAGTACTGTGGTGATGCTGAGGAATAAAGAGAAAATGAAGTATAGTGCCTTTCATTCTGTATTCAGTCCACTTATATAAAAAAGTAGAAGCACAAGATAGTGTGTTGTAAGTGATCAGAAATAAGAGTCAGGGTTGTGGGAAAAAGCATGAAATAATCCATCACTTTAATAGGAAAAGATTTTTAACAAAGCTATAAAATTAATCTGTCCTTGCTTCTTAGCTGAGAATTTTATAGTTTCCCACTTGAAAGATTTTACAGATGTCTTAGTTTAATTGCTTCCCAATTCCATGTTTTTTGTAACACAGATTTGTAATAGTTGAGTATTTTAAAAAATTGTTACCATTTTCCTTTTTGTTAAAATTTTTATTTAATCAAGTGAACCTTGAAGTTTTCACGCTTCATTTTGCTTAAGCCTCTTCCTGAGTATAGAGTTGACAAGCAACATTCTGGAGCAAAGTTAGCTTTGTTTGTTTTGTTTTCTACAGTGACAGAAACTTACAAATAGTGGTGAGTTTAAAGAGTAGTGTAATGCCTCCTCTGCCTCCATTCTTCCCCTTTTCTTTTTGTACTTTGCTCATGCCTTGTAGTAATTCACTTAAGTTCATGATTCTTTAGGGTACTTAGTTTATTTTTTGTTTCATCCTCACTTTGTGGTTATTTTACCACCTATGCTTAAATATGTTAGAAAAAACTATGGATAAAATTTATTATGCATTACATAGCTTAGAAAAGATTCCAAATATTGCCCCAATTTTTTTTCAGCGTTTAAGTCCTGAGTTTTTTTTTTTGGTACCAGGGATCAAACTCAGGTCCTTGTGCTTGCGCAGCAGGCGCTGAAACCACTGAGCTAAATCCCCGGACCCCTGAGTTTTCTTTTTAATAAGACACATTTTTCCATCTAACCCTTTATCCTTTTGGTATATACATTTTATATTCTTTGTGTGCCTTAAGTGTGCTATAATTCATAACTATTACAATTTATTGAAGACCGGGGATGTAGCTCGGTGGCACAGGCCCTGAGTTTGATTCGTGGTATCCCAAAACAACAAAAACCAAACATTTTATTGAAGCAATTTTTCCCCAGGGTCTTATTTTTGTGGTAGATAGCAATGATCGTGAAAGAATTCAGGAAGCCGCAACCGTACTACAGAATATGGTAAGCATGTATTTTATTTATTTATTCATTTAATTTTTTTATTTTTTGTTATTACTGGGGATAGAACTCAGGTCCTTGTGCTTGCGCAGCAGGCAGCAAAAGCACTGAGCTAAATCCCCGGCCCTTAAGCATGTATTTTAAATTTATCATTTTCAAGATGTGTGTTACTGTGTGATGGTAGTGTTATGGTGGTTTTTTTAGAGTTAGAAAGAAAGGAAGGACATTAGTCACAGTTTCTTTGTTTTTCTTTTCTTCATATTAACAGTGCATACAAAAATCTCCTGTAGAGCTGTACATTTATTAATCTTGTGCTAAAGATTGAACCGCATGTCTTGAGTATGCTAAGCATGCACTCTCTCAGTGAGCTACATCCCCAGCCTCCTTAAAGGGAGCTTTTTAAAAACACAAGAGCAGCTGCTTCGGTTAAGTTGAGAAAGGTGTGCAGCTTGTTTCAGAGGGGTCCCTGGTTGGTTTTGATGCTTGACTCTGGTTAAGGATGTCTGATTTAGTCCCAGCTCTCTTTTTACAGATACACTATTATCTATACTCATTCAGTTTTGACTTAGGGACCCTGGTTTAAATCCCTTGTTCCCCAGATCATTGAGATCAATTTTCTCTGTGCTTTGCCTATAATTACTTCAGAAATATTTTGTAGTAACAACCCTGGTAAAGAATTCTTCTTTCTGAAAGTAGAGGTGATTTGGCTGACAGTGACATTTAAGCCTTGCCATTTATCACGATAATATTTTCGTGTATTTATAGTGTTCAAAACCCTGAAGAGAAAATCTGCCTGGGGAACCTTGTCATGGGTTCAGACTTGTAGGTATTAAAAAGTATTTACCAAAATGAAATTGTAATTCCCATTCATTGCTGTTAGGACTTGAGAGAGTGCAGTTTATAAATAAAACCATTTTGCCTGTGTTTGTAACTCAGTCTATGGTGTCTTTTTGTCAGATGCCACCAACTTGTGTTCTTTTGTAAACACCTATACTGAGATATCACATAACATAAATTTAACTGATGAAAATCAGTATTTTTTATCCTCTCAAAAAAATCTTAGAATTGTTAGAAACAGTCACTTCCCATTGCCTTCCTCTTCTGTCCCTCACACCTTGTTCCTGACAGCCACTAATTTACTTTCTGTCTTTATACAGGCACTTTTTTTGATACACATTTAAATAGAATCGTAGTATACGTGTTTTTTTTTTTTACTAGCTTCTATGATTTAGCATGAGTTTTCAAGGTTTATTCATGTTATGTTACATATCAGTACTTATTCTTACCAGCTTCCATTCTTGGTACTCTTTTTGCACTTTTTACGATACTACTAAGGTCCTACTAATTGTATTGTTGTCTCACTGTTGTGAGGTCCAGTTGGCTGAAGGACAGAAAGAATTACAGTCATTTAAATACTGCTGCTAAGTACAATTAGATCTTGTCTTAAACAAACAACTGATTGTCACATTTTTTTTTGTCCTTGTCAATCCTGATCCTCAGCAGATAATTATGGAGACTGAGGGTGAGTGATTGACCTTTTTGGAATGTTGGATAATTGGCTTTAAGTAGTTTTGTTTTGCTTGAAGGCATATGATGTTTGCTTTGGATTTAAAAACAGAAGAATATGGGCCGGGGATTTAGCTCAGGAGTTCTGCCACCTGCCTTGAAAGCGCAAGGACCCAAGTTTGATCCCAGGTACCAAAAAAAACCACCCAAGAATAGTACAGTTAAATTTGTAAGAGTATAATAAAAGTTACATGGAGAGAGTTGTTTGATGTTTAATAGTGAATTGAATGTTGAATAAAAGTTTTATATGTATATATGTAGAAAGGCAGTGCTTTGAGCAGTTACAGCAGTTGGATTCCAGTTTAGTAGCTGTTAATGCCTTAACTTTTATTTCTAGCTTCAGGAAGATGAGCTGCAGGATGCAGTGCTGCTGCTTTTTGCAAACAAACAGGATTTGCCAAATGCTATGGCCATCAGTGAAATGACAGATAAGTTGGGCCTTCAGTCTCTTCGTAACAGAACAGTAAGTATTTGGAGGGTGATATTAATGACATGACTCAAAGGGTTACAGGCATACTTATTGTGGCTAATATTCAATTTAAACATTCAATATTTATCCCTTTGGAGCAAGGAGCACATCATTATAAGAATTGGTACTATAGGCTCTTGTGTATATGAAAGTCAGCCTTTCAGATTTTTTTTTTGGGTAGCTGCCTTTTTTTGTTTTTGCACCAGGGATCAAACTCAGGACTTTGGGCTTTCAAGGCAGAGATTTTTATTTTGGTACCAAGGATCAAACTCGGGACCTTGCGCTTTCGAGGCAGGCGGTTTAACCACTGAGCTAAATCCCCAGCCCCAGCCTTTCAGATTTTATTTTAATCCTTTGTAATTTTCTACTGAATTGTGCTTTAAACTATATTGCTAACTTCATTTTCTAACTTTTAATATATTTTTTAAGTATTCAGAGGTTTAAATGCCTTTAATTTTTATTTACTCATATCTTTAATGCTTTAAAGATATGGGAAACTAGTACAGGACCCATGGAATATATGAAGAACACTGATGTAAATTACAGTGGACCCTTGACTTCCAAACTCAATTCATTCACAAGTGCTGGTTGTAGCTCAAGTTGGTTGTAAGTCAAGACTGTTTTTTCCGTAAGATAATGGAAATACCCACAATGCATTCCTAACCTCCCAAAGCATCCCTTCATTAACCTTTTCGCAATAATAAGGGTTGTATAATGTGCATAATTTACCAGAAACACCAATAATTTTCCTAGTGTATTCACCAAAAAGTTATAAAATGTGCCTAGTTTATCAGAAACAATTTCATACTGTACTCACCATTCAAGTTGACATATTTGGCTTGCATGAAGATAGGATGAAATGGAAGGTGGTTATTGTTTGGAAGGAGAGGCCCCTTCCATAAGAACATCAGGAATCTGGCTCACCAGTGTCCTTTCTCTCCTGGGGAGAGTCTGTAGCTCACTAGGACCTGCTTCTGGCTCACTAGGTCTCAACCTTTTCAGAACTAAAAAGTGGTCCAAGGTGGTCTGTTTCTGTCTTTTGTTTAACACCATTCTGTAGTATGACATGACATTGTCATTAAGCAAGTGAATGTAAGGACTGGCTTTTTCTCTGTCTGGGTGGGTCTTCTCCACAAATGTTTATAGCTCTGTCCATTTTTTTCAGGCTACCTTTATTTCAGAAGAATTTGGCTACACTGTCGATACTCCCCCTCCTATCCAGAAATCTCTGCAGCTGCCATTCTGTTGCTCAGCTAGAAGTTGCTAAAGTTCCTCTGTAGACAATTTCTCTTGAGTTTTTCTCCACCAGTTCCTCAACATCGCCACTGCCTACCTGCAAGCCTATAGACTCTTCTATAGTGAGAATGTCATCAACCACAGGGTCAACTGAAGGCTCAGGCTCCTCTACACAGCCTTCAAAATCTCTCTCCTGTATAATTTTAGGCCACACTTTCTTCCAGGCAGATCTCTGTGTCCTTAGAGAGACACTGGCTCAGGATTTCTCAGTTAACCCCACACAAGAAAGGATGTTGTAATGTTCCTTCCAGAACTCTTTAAGTGTTAAATCTTTATGTGATGCTGGTTATGGTGGTGCATGTCTGTAATCCCAGCATTTGGGAGGCTGAGGGAGGAGGATCACCACAAGTTCAAGGCCAGCCTGGGCCACGTAGTGAGTTCAAGGCCAGCCTGGGCTACATAGTGATTTCTAGGCCAGCCTGAACTACATAGTGAGTCTCTGTGTTTAAAAAAGTAAATCTGGGGCCAGGGGTTTAGCTCAGTGGTTTCACCGCCTGCTGCGCAAGCACAAGGACCTGAGTTCGATCCCCAGTACCCCCCCAAAAAAGTAAATCTGTATCTGAGACCATCTGGAAGCACTTCAGGAACAGTTCCTTGGTATATAGTTACTTAAAGTTAGCTATAACCTGCTGGTCCCTAGACTGCAGTAGAGGAGTTGTATTAGATGGGAGGAACTTGACTGATAATCATGGGAATTCTTCAGCCAATTCTTCTTCCAAATCTTGTGGGTGAGCAAGAGCATTGTTCATAATGAGCAGGGTCTGGAGTGGTAAACCTTTGTCCTCAAGATATTTCTTTTTTTTTTTTTGGAACCAGGGATCGAACTCAGGACCTTTTGCTTGTGAGGCAGCTATGGTGCCACTGAGCCCCCTGGTCCCCTCTAGATATTTCTTAACAGTAGGACAGAAAGCCTCCCTGATCCACTCAAGAAAATGTACTTTTGTTACCCAGGCTTTTGTCTTAGATCTCTACACGATCCTTAGCCTATTCTTCATGACTTTATATTTTCTGAACTCTCTAGAGGTCTCAGAGTGATAAACGAAGACAGGCTTTATCTTGAGGTCACTGCTAGGCACATAGCAATAAGGTTGCCTATCTAGTCTACCCTTCATAGGCTTGTGGCCTGGCATTTTCTTCTCTTCCTGGGTAATATATGTTCTCCTGGGCCTTTTCTTCCAGAAAAGGACAGTTTCATCACAGTTGAAAACTTGATGAGAGCAAAAACCATTTCTCTGCCTCATTGTTTTGAAGTGGTGTATGTAATTTTCAGCAGCCCTTTTATTAGCACTGGCTGCTTCACCATGCCTAGTTTCTCTTTGCACCCTAATTCTCACTTTAAAATTGTGAAACCACCCCTTACTGCCACAAAATGTTTCACCATTATCACTTGTTGATGGATTATCCTTTAAGATCTGCATTTATAGCCCTAGCTTTTTCACAAATTATAGAGTCAGGGTATAACCTACCATCTGCCTTTCATTAATCCACACTAATAATAGCCTTTCGTAACTTATAATTTGAGTACTTCTTTAACAACACTAGCTTCCTTTTACAAATGTTTTCTCTGTAAGATTGTCAAGATGGTGGATTTCGATATGCTGTACATACTAACAAAATTGGTCACGTGAATACCACTCTTATTTCTCCACAATTTCCTTTTTTTTTTTTTGGTACCAGGGATCGAACTCAGGACCTTGTACTTGCAAGACAGGCGCCAGAACCACTGAGCCAAATCCCCAGCCCACAATTTCCTTCTTTTTGATTGTGATTGCTTTCTTTTCTTTCCCTCCCTTCCTTAGCTTCTTTTCTAGCTTTTTGGGGGCCATTTTGAGAGCAGTAATCATAGGGATTATATAAAGCACTGACTAAAATTACATCCACAAACACAGGCATTTGTGCTCAGACTGATGCTTATGTATGCTTATGTATGCTTTTCTGGCATCGTGAGTCTTAGTTTACAACCACACAAGCAGCCAATGTTTGAGTCATAACTCAAGACTTTGGTCATAAGTTAAAAGTAAACTTCTGGCCATAATCCAAGTTTTTCATATACGAGGCCAGTCGTAACTCAAGGGTCCACTGTATTTAGCAGCTTTTTTTTTTTTCCCCCAGTACCAGGGATCAAACTCAGCACCTTATGCTTGTTAGGCAGGCTCGGTGCCACTGAGCCAAATCCCTGGCAGCTATTTTAATACAATATCATATAGTACTATGTGTTAAACTCAGAAGTTTTTTAATGAACTCTAATGGTGATAATAAATTTTGAAGGTATTTTTAATATATTATTAGATCTGTTTGTGTCAAGAGCTCATTGTGTTACATCAGTGATTTAAGTATTGGCAAAACATGTTACACTGTTGTGTATAGGAGGATGATTTTACAAACTAATAGTATTGTGAGCTCTACAGTAGTTTTGCATTCACTTGTCAGTATGGGTGATACTATTGTATAACCCTTTTTTTTTGTTTTTGTGAGACAGAGTCTCACTTTGCAGTTCAAGCTGGCCTTGAGCTATTATGTAGCCCAGGTTGGCCTCAATCTCTCAGCGATCTTCCTGCCTCAGCCTCCCAGGTGCTGGGATAATAGGTGTGTACCACTATACCTGGCTCTGTGTTCTAGTTGAGATATTCAAGGTTTATTTAAAGAAGAGAAAGATAAGTGATACAGTACAAATTCATGCCTTTTCCCAGCCTTTTGGTGTACTGGAGCTTTTTGTATTCAAATGCTAATTAGCAACATGGCTTATATTCAGTGACCTCCAACATTAAAGTGAGGTTTTTATTCTGACACAAAATAAAATTGACTAATTAAAAGTAAGTAGTAAAAGGCCGGGGATTAACTCAGTGGCACCATGCTTGCCTTGCAATCACAAGGTCCTCAGTTCAAGCCCTGGTACAAAAAAAAAAGGAACTTTTTCTTGGAATGTATGAGACTAAAGACCGTGAAATTATCTGAAAAATTTGCCTCAGAATTTCTGTAAGCTCTACTGTTTTCTTTTGGTTTTGATTTTGATTTTTTAGGGCTTTGCTTATACTCTGCAAACACCTTTCCACTGAACTTCATTCCCCAACCTACAAAGTCTGCTTTTCAAATATTTGCCCCTCCTAGGCTATAGGTATGGCTCAGTGGTAGAGCAGTAGAATATCCGAGACTCTGGTTGTATCACCAGCACAAAAAAATCAGCCCTTCTATTTAGGTTTATGGGATGGGGATAATAGGACTACAGGGACCAAGGTGGGTGGTTTGTTTACAAGTTTCCTCGTGAATCTTCTCTTCATAAAAAAAGGTGGGAGGTTGGGTAAATCTAACAGACAGGGAGGCATAGCTTCACGTGAGAGGCAGGTTTTTTCAAAAGGAAGAAGTGTAATAAAGCTTTTAGTCTAAAGGGTAATTTCAAATAATCTTTATTGTTACTGAAATCAATAAATAGAAGCAGAAGCATATGTTCATGAGATGTAATAACATTTCCTCACGTTTATTTCTGTGTTGTAATACAATTCTGTTTCCTGTTTTAACTGTATATTTGTGGAGGGAAATATGTAGTTTCTTGAATAAGAAAAGTTAAACACCCATTCTGTATAATCTTGTTAATCAAATATTTTCTGGTCCTTTCTTCACAGTGGTATGTTCAAGCCACTTGTGCCACACAAGGAACGGGTCTGTATGAAGGACTGGACTGGCTGTCAAACGAGCTTTCAAAACGTTAAGTGAAACTGGATATCTGACCACGGACACATTTGATAGAATTGGTCTAGGCTTGTTACAACACAATTAGTTTGCATTTTGGTTATTAAACAATATCTGGGACTGGTTTGGGCAGAACATTACAGCCTTTACACCATTTTGTGGCCAGTTATTGTTTACCAAGTACAGTGTTGCCCTTTAGCAATATGCTTGGTTTTAAAGACATTGTCCTTGGGGAAAAGTATTGTCTCTCAGTTTTACTTCTTTTAAGCCTAAATGCCTGGACATAGCTATTGTGTCACCTTAAATCGTTTTGAATGTTTTTTGAGCCCACCACAAATAATGATTTAGAGTTATCCCCTTGCTACTTTACGGATTCCTTTATCATTCCTTGGACAGTCTGCTGATTGAAAAATGTAGCATTCCATTTGTATTTATTTCTATCCCTTGCCAAAACAATTTTCTAATACTGCTTGTGCCAGCCAGGGACATGCTCCAAAACACTATTCAGCTCTCTTGCACTGAGGAACCTATTTCTTCCCCCCATTATCAACTCCTGGCTTCCATCAGTCAAACTTACCTTGGTGTGGTTTGGATTTGATAGCTGATTCTGTGCTGGTTGCAGAGAGTTCATATTGAGGTGGCTTTTTACCACTCGGCAGATTGTCTTCCTTTGTATTCTTATCTTTCTTATGTTGCATGTTGCTTTTGGTATCAGCCTGACTCTTTGCCCAGTATATAATGGTTCTGCTGATGTTTTATTGTTTATTGATGAACATGTCTTCATTGAGATTTTGGAAAACTTGTCAAACTCAATAATTTTTCTTCATAACCCATTTGGAATTATTCCTAATAAAATGATAAAATATGTCATTATGTGTCTGTTCTTTTTGAGTCTTGATATTTGAAACGGATTTTCTTGTGTTGCAAAATTGATTTTCCTGTTTCACACACTGTGGGTTATAAACATCCCATCGTGTTTAAGTTGGCAGTAAACTTACATGTTATCATCTTTATATAACAGAGTGGGAAACAACATTGGGAATTTAGCTTTCTCTGATATAATCCCATTTGATGCTGTAAATTTCAAACGTAGGATCAATAGTAAAATGTTGTAATAAAATGCACTGCCCTAAAAGCACGTAGGCATGTATTTCACAGCTAACAAGTCAAAATTTTTTTCCTTAGATGTTATTTGCATGGCAGATACATAGACTGTTAAGGTATGCTACTCTACTACGAAAATCACAAAGTCTGTAAGCCCTTTTTAGTTTCATGTTTTAGAACTTCAGCAGAAAAACTGCATGTGACTATTTTGCTAATAAGGCAGTAAAAGTATACCCCATTGATTAAGTTATTAAAGAGTTTGATAGTTTCATGTATATTCTAATGTTCTGTGTATTATAAATGTTGCTTTTCCAGGTTCTGAATGCCTTGTAGAAATTTAGATAAAATTATGGATTAAAAATTTATTTGTAAGCTGGGAGTGGTGGTGCATGCTTGTTATCGCAGCATGTGGGAGGCTGAGGCAGGAGGATTGCTGGGAATTCAAGGATAGTCTTGGCTACATAGTGAATTCAAGGCCAGTCTGAATTACGTAGCTAGTCTCTGTCTAAAAAAAATAAAAATTATTTCTAAGGCTGAGCATGTAGCTCAGTAGTAGAAGATTTACAAAAAGTATAGTTTTGAGTAAAAAACTACTGAAGAAAAGGGAATTGGAATTAAGTAGTTTGTCATTTTAAAAAATAGGCTATTAGGCTAAAATATGCATTAAGTAGTGTATGATGGTATTACAACTTTCCTAGCCCACTGGTTGAAGTCTTCCTTTTTTCCTAATATGAGAGGTCTCATTTGTTGTTACATAAAACTAATATAGTATGTACAGTTTTGTGGGCTATAAAATAGGAGATACAAAGCTTGAATCAAATCAGTGTTAGAATTATAGTTTCTAATTTTATAAAGCTAATCTAATAGTGGATTATGTTTTCATGAACTCTAGAGGTGGTAAGAATCCATACACTCTCATTTGAAAATGGGTGTATTGAAGAAAATAAAATTGCCTAGTTTTCCATAAGTGGATTAAAAAGAATTTCTGAAATTGCCTGTTTTTTAAAAAAAGCATTAATTGGGAAACATGACATGTTTTTACTTCTAGAAAGTTTTCTTCTGTCTTAGTATTTCTTTTTTTTTTTGGGAGTGGGGATCGAACTCGGGACCTTGCACTTGCGAGGCAGGCGGCAGAACCAGTGAGGTAAATCCTCAGCCTGTAGTATTTCTTTTAAAAATCACATTGAGTTGTTTTACTGTTTTTCAAATAGAAAGTAGCAAATGCTTTGGGAAAAAGAATACATTGTAAGATGACCCAATAATCCTTTCCCTATTTTAGGTAAACTTACAAAATCACCACCACTGTCCTAATTAATTGCAATGTGTAGGAATCTTATGAAATACTTAATACTGTCAAGACTGAATGCTTGTTATTCATGGAAATGTTAAACTCATTGTTGATCCTTCAATTAGACGTCTCAGTGACCTCTGTTATAGAGAACAGTTGATTATACTCCTGGATTAAAAAGTATTCTGTCAAATAATTATCAAATTTGTTTTTTTTGGGCGGGGGATTTAGCTGAGTGGTTCTGCCGCCTGCTTCGCAAGCGCAAGGACCCGAGTTCGATCCCTGGTACCGGAAAAAAAAAATGTTTAAAACAAAATTTTTTTTTCAAATATGTTAATAGAGAAACTGAAGAACAGTTGTATTCCTTAAAGTCTTACTAGCAGCATCACAGTTAAAATAGTACAAGTATCTGTTCCCTATCTGACTGCCCAGTAAGCTTTACATTTTTGGTCAGTATTTCCCTTTGTCCTTTTGTGTTGCTTATCAGCTGATTTTCCATGATGTAACAGCTTGATATTTTGTTGAAGATTTTAATTTTTATGAATTTTCCTTTATTGAAAATAAAACTTGGGCTGGGGAGTTAGCTTAGTGGTTCTGCTGCTTGCTTCTCAAGCACAAGGTCCTGAGTTCAGTCCCCAGTCCAAAGAAAAAAAGAAAAGAAAACTTAAATGTTACTTTATAATTTTTCAGAAAATCAGTATACAGTGGTGCCTTGGTTCATGAAAGCTTTTGTTTGCAAAATGTTTGTCAGAATTTTGTTTTTGTTTGCAAACTCTGTATCATGACAAACATGATTGTGGCCATCTTTCCCACACAAACACAAAATGTGACCATCTTTTCCAAGATCGTAGAACAAATGAAGTTCATGAACCGAGATGCCACTGTATTTAGAGATTTCCACTTTAGTATAAGTACAGAATTATCTCTCATACAGTAATTAATTTCAACTCACTTAAATGGGATCCGAGTTTCTTAAATCTGAGATTTCTGGGTTTTCTGTCATGGAGCTTTGAAAGTGACTTCTGACTTTTTAAGTTCAGCACTCGGGTGGCAGAGGCAGAGGAGGATCAGAGTTTGAGGCCAACCTGAGTTATATAGCAAAAACTTTGTCTTTAAAAAAATTCTTGGGCTGGGGATTTAGCTCAGTGTTTCTGGAGCCTGCCTTACAAGTGCAAGGACCCGAGTTTGATCCCCGGTACCAAAAAAAAAAAAAAAAAATTTCTTGTAGTTCTGCTTCATGATTCAATACCATAAATACTAGTTGCCAAATTTGATAGACTATGAAAATTAGATTGAGTAGTAAGTATATTGTGTGAAGATCTGATATAGGGAAGCAGCTCTACAGTCTGATTATTTGGAAATGCATGTGTGTATTTATGATACTGGGGATTGAATCCCGGGCCTTCTTACTGAGCTACCTCCCCATATCCCCAACCCTCTTTTAAGCTTTGATTTTGAGACAGGTTCTCAGGTTGCTTGAACAAGGGATCCTCCTGCCACAGCCTCCCAGAAAGCTGGGATTACTGTTGGTTGCAACCGTGACCGGCTTAATTCTGAGAATATGATTGGGAATGACCTGCTGTCAGCAGACTTATTTTTAGGAAGACATTTAGAATGAAATACTATAGTTTTTTGGGAAGTGGGATATAGCACCATAGTTTGATGAACCTAGGGTCTCATATGTAGTAGGCAAACACACTACCACTGAACTACATCCCTCCCTCTAGGTTTATAAGCTTATCTCATTAAGAAAAATAAACAGCCTGGTGTGGTGGTGCATGTCTGTAATCCCAACACTCAGGAGGCTGAGGCAGGAGTATTGCTGCGAGTTCAAGGCCAGCCTGGGCTACATAGCAAGATCCTGTCTCAAAAAACCAAAACCAAAAACCATTTTACTTTAAAGACCAGATTAACAGATTGATTAGGGCCGGGGATTTAGCTCAGTGGTTTTGCCGCTTGCTTCGCAAGCGCAAGGACCCGAGTTTGATCCCCAGTACCAAGAAAAAAAAAAAAAAGGATTGATTAGGATTGGCTCTAAAATTGAGTTATTAAACTCCTTGATACATTTCTTCTAGTATATATGTTGTGACATTGTATTCAGGTGCCTAAATTACTACTACTTGAAGGTTGGCTGTTTTTGTTTCTTAGAAAATGTTTCTTTGTGACTTTTAGACAAATATACTTTTACAGTTTCCACAAACCAATATCCAGTGGCACCTTGGTTCAGGAATTTAATCCTTTCCACAATTCTGGTCACAAACCGAATTGGACAAGAACCGAATCAAATTTAATGGTTAGGTTCAATGTTGACCTTACAGGGAAATTTGATTCGGTTCTTGTCCAATTCATTTTGCCACCAGAATCTTGGAAAGAAAGAAGTTCATGAACTGAGGCACCACTGCAAAATGTTTGATTAGTTAAACTGTAAGAACAAAGATTGTGAGACATGAATAGCAAAAGCATATATGGACTCAGGGATAGAATAAAGTAGTTGTACTACCACAGTGAATGCCTTTTAGATAGTTTGTGTGTTAAAGGACAGTGGAGATGGTTGCCTCCTGAACTTGTCAGTGATTTCTACACTGTTATGATATGCTTTTGCTTTATTGAGCAAAAAAGTACTTGGAGTTGCAAGACTTAGCCTGTCTTCTGGTTTTTTTTTTTTTTTTTTGGTACCAGGGATTGAACTCAGGTCCTTGCACTTGCAAGGCAAGTGACGGAACCACTGAGCTAAATCCTCGGCCCCAGCCTGCCTTCTGTATGGAGAGAACTAGCTCTTAGGAACTGACCTGACTTTGGTT